TTATTATAAGAGGGCACATTAGGTAATGACAAACGCGGTTCTTCGTATTATTATCATTACGTAAGATAGAGAGTAAAAACGAAGAAGAGAGAAAGAAAGAAAGGAAAAAAAATTCAATTTATTAACACTCCAAGATCAATTCAATCTCTTAAAAGCTCACACAAATAATTATCTCCGACAACATTGGACAATATTGAAAAAACAATTACCTCGTTATTGTCGCATAAAAATAAAGATCGAATGCACTCATTGTGACTGCCAAAGAATGTATGCAATAAATAATGTCAACAGAGGCAGGAGGGAGAGAAACGGAGCGTAAATTCCGTTGAATAAAAGACAAGCGAAAAGATACACGAATAAATGCGAATTAATTGCCTTCTGAAGTGAATCTCCCAAGGATCGTAACAAAAATTACGCGGGACAGTGTATGAGATAAAGAGCTACGAAGAGCTATAGTCGTAAAAGACTTGGGAAACAAACAGTCAAGATAAATAAGAGGAAAGATTAATACCAAAGCTGAGCGATGTCAGAGAAATGGAGAGACGGAGGACGCAAAACTCTTTGATATTTGCATACTGCACCCTGCGAGGGAAGAATTTTGGTGAGGAGAGGAGGGGGGAGAGAAACGGGGAAGCGGAGAGGACCGGCGGGGCGGTTCAATGCGAGAGCGCGACCTCCTTCTCTCGCGGAGTGTTAAATTAAATTATTATTATCCCCATTATCATTAAGCACACCGAGTACTAGTGTCCCCCTCTCTTCCACAGCCCCGATATACATCTCGGGGGCCTGCGTATGCGCGCACATACACACACGTACACACACTTACGGATGCATACATACGTGTATATGTTCGCGTATTTGTAGGCAGATCGAGGTACGAGATGTCGACGCGCATATAATTCTCCCGAGATGCCATTAAATTGTATTAATCCACTTCCATCACGAAATTGAAGTTCATACACGATAAATGTACGTACGTACATACATATACCTGCTGCGATACGCCTGTACGTAGGGTTACGCGAAGTGTGTAACCCCCACGGAGAATAACCCCAGTTTTCTCATTGATGGGACACGTATTTTCCCCTTCCCTCCGCAGTTCTTATCGATCTCACGCGCGACAAATTTTTTTTACCCGTCGATATCTCGCACGAGGATCGCGCGTAACCCTTGATGTTGTAGCGTTTCGTTACTTTTATTAACCCCCGGCGGGAGAGAACGCGGCACGATGAACAAAGTTAAGTCGACCGTGTAAGGCAATCATTTAAGTATCGTTACTTCGCTACCGAGCATTTTAATCACCGACACTTCGTATCCCTTACGTTAGTCAGGGATCAATTTGTGTCTAAAAGGGAGATCTCTCATGGATAGAGTTGCCATCCGTTCTTGTTCCGAATACTATTCCCCTTTTAGAGAACGTCCGAGGTGATTTTACGAAAACGACTGGAATTTCAGGGAATTTTCAAGCAACATTTTGCTTTGACTCCTCCCGCGCTACCCTGTATTAGTTCCGATCGACTAATATGTGTAGTAAACCTTAAACTATAAGAAATTGACCAATTATAGTCGAATGAGGAGAAAAATTAATTACATAATTGGTCAGACGTGAAGTAATTGACTGTTTTGACTAATTTTTACTAACCTATACGCATTTTTGTATGTGTCCAAGTATGTAAGTTGTAGTTTTAAAAATTTTTATATGAAAATTCTACTCGTGGATGACAATTCTATATACGAGATATTTTACCCTGTGCGAGATGTACACCTTGCACATTTAAAAATATCGCTTCTTTACATTGTATGTACGCGTTTATCTTTTAATCTATTTTCTCTCAAATTAACTGAGCGATAGTGGATAATGTTCGTACTTTTCAAGTAGATATCGATAATTAAGCAACAATATCAAAACCCCGTTAAATTAAGCATAGCTGATACGCAATCGCGACACACCACCGGTGGTAATTGGATCGTACGGCAGCGCGGTGGAGATACGTTCGTTCATTCGAGCTTCATTCGTGTTTTCCGACAATGCGTTGTTTATCCCATATCGCGAAATGAGTTTCGGAATGAGTGGCGTGGGAGCGCGTGTAGCGCGAGCTAGGGTGCAACGAGGGTGGTGCAAATCGAGAGAGTATAGATGAGCACGAGTTCTCGGAAATGCATATCTCATATACTGCAATCGTTTCGCAAATTGAAGAGTGTTGAAAAAATGCCGGAGGCTGCAGATGTACCGAGAATTATGCAATGGGAAGGGAACCCAGACGGAAAGAGAGCAAAAAATAACGACATACTTTTTATCCGGTCGCTTAGTTGCCGCTGTCATCTATTTTTTCACGCATTTTACATCTACTGTAAATCAAATATTCTACCGACAATGTCTCTTGTGAGCTCGCATATTTTACGTGTATGCGCGTGTGCGCGCATTTAATCTTTAAGTGATCGTGCGAGCAACTGTCACGATTGCGCGGCACACTCCGTATGTCAAGGGAATAATATTGTATCTGCATGATGATTAGAGTTTTCTTGTTTTCGTTTTTCTTTTTTAATTTTCTGAGATCCTACTTTGTATTAATGCTAACTTTCATTCTTGAGACACTCAAATATAATATATATATATATATATATATATATATATATATATATATATATGTTTATCGTGCAATTGATAGTGCAACAATTATGTCCGTTTTTTTAAATTTTAATATTACATTTATATTGAAAATAAATCATAACATTAACATACGTATAAGTTAATGCCAAACAGAAAAACTGGCACAACAAAATGAAATGGAAATATGAAACACCGAATCAATAAATAAAAAAGATTATTTAATAACTGTAAATATTAATTTTTATATTTCTGTGCTGTCAAAAATTTCAAATATTGTTTTTTTAAATTATAATTTCAGTAATATTATCAGAAAACAGAGACAAAACAATAAACACCGTATACATAATAAATTTATGCAATTTTACGATTTAATTGTTTTAAATGTTATTGCAACTCATAAAAATATATTAAATTTGTTCATAGGATAGGATTATCTGTAGCATAATAAACAAAGAAATACATGAATTTCGCTACAGGCAATATAACATGGAAACACCGTTGCTATTCTACAACTAAAAAATCACTCACAATCAGAAGGTTAGATGGAAGGAAAGTACTGTTACGAACGAGATGCACCGTAATATTTTAAACTTTTTCGAATATTGAAATAAGTAGAAAATAACCTACTTGACTAAGCTCTATTCGAAGAAAACCCATTTCTATCATCAATGTAGATTAATTTTAATCTCGGTTTAATTTATTCGTTATCTTTTTCTAATTCTTAGAACTAGAAGAAGATAAAAAGTAAGTTAAACCGAGATTAAAGTTAATCTACATTGGTAAAAATGGATAGAAGACTTAGGTCGGAAATTGGTTTGCTCTATTAAAAGGACGAGATGGATCTTCGCTTTATAGCGAGAGAATTTTGTATCAAAATAATTGTAACTAAATAATAAATGTCCTGGTATTAAAAGTAAAGATTAACTCAATTCCGAAACGAATATTTCTAGAGAGAATTTCCAGAAGAGGATAAGTCTTATCGATTCGTATATTCGCTCGGGTGTTATCAGTTATTTTTTTATACAGTTTTATTAGAATATAACGTATTTTGGTACACCAGCGCGACTACTTAAGTATTAAGAGAAGAAACGTTGTAAATGATCGATTTGATATTTCGATCTTTTTTACAGATTTCAATACGACTAACAGCCGACTTTTGTCTTGAACTTTGTGTAATATATAAGCTCCTGTAATATACAACAGTTTTGACTTAAGATCGTTTAAAATTCAATATGTGAAGACATCTGCAAAATGTTCCTCGTTCTAACTCGTCCAAAATTTTATATCGTAGATCCTCGCAATTTGTTTTTTAAACAAAGATCATATCGGGATGATAGTACCTTTTAGATGGTTCTCGCGGATCCGAAAGTACTTTATCGCTTCTTAAATCATTTCCAATACTTTAAGTATTCGAAAGTTACACTTTGCAGACTCGAATGCATAAGTCACACGAATAGAGGGTGGGGGAGGTTGCTTAAAAATTCAGAAAGTCAGCACTTTTAGTTATTACCAATAGAATGTCATTTTCGTCGTGGCAGAATAAATGTATGACTACTTTCGAACGGCTAGTGCGGCAAGAATCAGTAATATCCCTGAACGCAGCGCTCAGCGCGCCTTTCCAAACTATATCTCTCCTATTTCATAACTTTCCCAATTTCAAGAACAGGGAAGCGAGAAAATAGCATAGGCTCCGGAAAAAAACTCTGCGCCAGTGCGCCGAGGGATGGCGAGAATTTAGGTGAGACTGTGTAGACGCGATATTCTAGTTGAAGTCAAAAATTACGAAAGTTAAACGGGGAAACGACGTCTCTGAAGTTTAAGGATAACCGAGCGAAACGCACTGACGGTATAAAAGTGCCATCAAAGAATTTATCGTGGAAGACAGTTGTGTCGAACAACTAGGAGCTAGGGGATGATAAGTGTTGACCCCTGTTGTGGAACAATTTGCGATTGCTACCTTCAGATAGCAGCGGCTCAACGTGCGCGCGTTATCGTCAGCCGTTGCACCCGTTCATAATAGCTGGCCCGCAAATAGGCCATCGACGTTCGCGTTTACGAACAAAAGCAAAATAGCGTCGCGCGACGGCCAGGCCCCGGCGGATGTCCGAAACGCCGCGCATTCCCGACGCGGATCGTCGGCGATTAATCGAATCGATCGAGCAGCACGGCTGCGGCAGCAGCGGTAGCGACGACGGCGGCGGCGGCGGCGGCGGCGGCGGCGGCGGCGGCGGCGGCGGCAACGGCGGCGGTGGAGCCTCTCGTTTGACAAAGGCCCCGATTCATGCGTCAGCGCACGAGGCCAAAGCGCCGGGTCCACGATGCAAAAACCAATGGGAATACACATACACACACACACACACACATATATACAAAATAACACTGCACTTACCCCCGATCCGTCCGAGGCAGAACAATAACAAGCCGGTCAAACCGATTCCCCGAGTCCAATCCATGATGATCTGGGCTGATTTCTTGCCGCCTCCGACTGCAGTCATTCAACTCTGAGGGAAGAAACGAGAGAAGAGAATCGTGAATTAGTGAGAAGTTGCGTGGGCTCGAGAACTGCACGCGCGAGATCGTTAGCGTGGGCGATCGAAAACCAACCCGCGCTTATGATGCACTATACTCCGGTTCTCTCTTGCCACACACAATCCACCCTCGCGCGTGGTTCACATTGAAACAATTCACTTGATAATCCAGTCGAGTCGTAGCAACATATTATGTCATCGAACAAGTATTCGGTCGACAAGCAATCGTCCGCGTCCGCTGTCTTTTATTTCTTTTCTTCTTTCGTTTCTTTTTTTATTTCGTTTTTTTTTATCACCGAACCGTTTTTTGCCAACCCGAGGCACTGGGGTACCGCGCTCGGCGCGCACTTATCAACCCTCTCACGGCGAGTCACGACGACACTCACGAGGCACACGCGTCTCGATCGTGCGGCGAGCACGCGTCGCGCGGAAATAGCGGGTGGCAGCGGCGAGGAGGCATTCGGGGATGGATAGAAAGAGAGAACGTGCGTCCGTGCCCCACGACGATCGCGTGTGCGGAGTAGTGGCGGCGGCGGTGCGGCCTACGGGCTTCAGAGCACGGGGTGCCGTCTCCCACCCTCGCGCGCGCGGCCAGCAGCGGCACCGTAGTAATCCCCCTCTCGCTCGCCTGGGTTTCTCTCTCTCTCTTTCTCTCTCTCTCTCTCTCTCTCTCTCTCTCTCTCTCTCGGTCGCTCGCT